TTCGCAATTTCAAACGTATGTTTTGCTCTCACGAACTCCTTTTGCAGCGCAAAACAGAGTGCTCTTATGAGCATAAGTTCTTGCTTCTGCTGTTTCATTATTTTGTTTAACTGACTTCAAGTTTTTACCGTTTTTGAAAAACTCGCAACAGAATACAAGATTATAAGGCAAACATACTTTTGTCTTACTGTTCAGAGAGAAGTCCATTATTAACTCCAAATGTGCAGTGTGTTTCTAATTGGCATTCACTAGAGGAAGCGGTTATTGCAATCCAAAAAAAGCAGAAAGCGGAAATAACTTTTGAGCAGCTTTATCATGTAGGTCAACTTTTCGTATTTAGTCGTTACAGTGCCTGACTTATTATATATCTCTATTTAATCTTTTTTAGACAGTAGAAAACCTATGTAATTTTGGCTATGGAGCTAACATATACGAGAAGTTGCGAGAATGTATATTAAATCATGTTAAATCGGGATTAAGCGGGTTGAGTGAGCACTTTGATGCTACAGTTTTGTTTCTACAGCGTCTGAATGTCTTGTGGTTGGAACATTGTGAGCAAATGGTAGGTTTCACGGGTATACTATATTTAGTTCTTTCCTAATTTTAATAAATTGCTTTTTTTGTATATGGAAGTTTGCTCACTAAATTGAACGCTCCTTCCAGTAGTTATCCAGTTCTTTGCAAAATTTTGTTGATTAATAGAGTCTAGCAGCAATTTCAAAAAATCGAAGAGAGGACCTGGAAAGATCAGTTTTCTACCGAGCTATGCGCTGTCGAGGCTGAAGAATCTATAATTTTCCTAATAAACCAAGGCTTTTTTAATTTGGATTACCTCGTATTATCTATGAAATTCACTGGTCTTGGATTTGAATAAAGGATTGGTTTAAACTGTACAAAAAAAAAAGCTTTTTACTCATTTTATTTTTGAAAAAAATATGAAAAAAGTGAAGTCTACAGTTGCGTTAAAAGGAAGGAAGACTTTTAGTGTAGAATTTTTGCTTAATAAAATGAAAAAGTTTATTGTAGGCTACTAGTGTGAATTAAAGCTACATTCAGTCAAGTTGACAGAAATGGGCACTTACAGATCATTTAAATGTAAATTCCTAAAGAAGCTGATTTTTCACTATTGAGTTCTGATAGTTTATAACCCTGATTGGCTTTTCTTATCAAATCGTAGAAACCGTAATCATAAATAAAGATATGCTAGCTACGCAGAGGAAAAGAACTTTCGAGATTGAAATAATAGAACTTGGCGGGCACTGATATTTCTAGTCCTTTTTCTTTGTTTTTCGAATCTAAAGTACATTATTAATCAACAGAGTTCGGGAAGAATTTCGAAATGCTACGTGGAAGAAGGGTTTGATTTGACATGTAGCCAATGTTCTTTGTTACTACTATTGAAAGTCCTCTTAATACCTTTTCCCTTCTACTTTTTCGTTCGTTTATTACTTATTAGTTGCAGGTTATGATCAGGAGCGTATTTTTGTTCCTAGACAGGACTTTCGTACTGCAGACGCCATCATTGCCTTCTCTTTGGTAAGTACTCAACAGATCTGTCTTCTTTTACCCGCATTTTGGCCGATTTTGTCATAAGAAAACTTACCTCGTCACATTTTTCTTTTAGGGATCTTGGGCTGGAAATTTTTCGTGATACTATAATAGTTTGCGAATCTGTAAGGAGTAGAACAACTGCTGGTCTTTTGAAAATGATAGAAACAGAGCGTGAAGGATCACAGGTAGTGATTTTTTTGAGACAGTTATTTTTTTCTCCTCTCTTAGTGCTTCTGTATATGTAGTTTAGGAGACCTTCTTAACAGTTGAAAATATTACTTTACTTACGTCAGAACTATTGAATTTGTAGGCTTTTCTTGCTTTATTCATTTTGTGTAGTGTGATTTTAATAGGGGTTAGGAGTTTTGTGAAAGCAGTGAACAGATGCAGTGCTAGGAAATTTTTAATTTATTAGTGATTATCATGTTTTACTGAATTTTTCAATACGACTGAAGTGCTTCAGTGGAGATTCAGTAATTTTGTTTTCAGATAGATCGCCAACTTTTAAAATCTCTTTTACGCATGCTCATGAATCTTGGGGTCTATCAACAGGTGGTTTTTGCCATCTTTCTGCTCATTTCTAATTCTTTTTTTTTTAAAATTTCAATTGATGGGATACTTTTCACAACATGATTTCTTTAAAGATCTTCGAGAAACCATTTTTGAAAGCTACTGCTGCATTGTATGAAGCTGAAGGACGTAATCTATGCCAAGAATTGGAGGTGCCGTTATATCCTTTTTGTAAAATATTTTTTCTACAGGCATAATACAGATATTGGGTTTTAGGTTCCTGCGTATTTATTGCATGTGAAACGGAGGCTGGATGAAGAGGTTAATCGTGTCGACTATTACTTGGATTTTGCTACCTGCAAACCTTTAATATCCTTGGCAGAGAAGCATCTTATTGTTGACCACATGGAACTTTTTATGAGCAAAGGTTTGATCGTCGAACATGGACTTTAAAGTTTTATTTTGCGTGTTATGTGTTTGGGTGATGTTTCCACTTTTTCAGCACTTTGTCCTTAAAAAGCCTTAGAATGTTGTCTGGTTTTCGTTTCAGGTTTTGATATAATGTTAATGGAGAACCGTTATGACGAACTCACTTTAATGTACTCTTTACTTAAGCGGACAGAAAACGGTTTAGTGCTTTTGAAGAACTCTTTTGCTGCGTACATCAAGGTTTTAATTTTTTGTGCAATGTTGATCTCGGGTTTCTTCATCTTCTTTGAATGTTGCGTTTCAGAAAGTGGGAAAGGCTCTTGTATTAGATGTTGATCGGGAAAAAACACTTGTAGCCGACTTGCTGAAGATGAAGAAAAATCTTGATTACGTCATCGAAGAGTAAATTTCTCAAACTATTCACATGATCGGCGAATTGTGAACTTTCATAGTAGAGAAAATATCATTTATAAAATTCTTATGTAATCAGGAGTTTTTATATCTGTTTTAGGTGCTTTGAGTCGTATGAAAAGTTTATCCAAGCAGAAAAGGATGCATTTGACTATTTCATTAATACACGTCCCAATAAACCTGCGGAGCTAGTGGGTATGCGTTTTTGAGACTCTCTTTTGAAGTTTGAGCGATGGGCTTTGTTTGGTTCTTTGAGTCATTTCGTTTATAACTGTTTTGGTTTTTAGCAAAATATATGGATGCAAAACTAAGAGCCGGAAACAAAGAAGCTACCGATGAGGAACTAGAAAATTTGATGGATGATGTCATACTAATTTTTCGTTTTATTCAAGGTTGACTCTCTACTTTCGTAGAACAGCGTCGTTTATGGAAACTATTATTTTATTTGTTATTAAAGCAGTCACTTGATGAATAAATCTTTTCATATCTGTTTTAGGTAAGGATGTCTTTGAAGCTTTTTATAAGAAAGATTTGGCTAAACGTTTATTGCACGGAAGGAGTGCCTCAGTCGATGCTGAAAAGTCGATGCTATCAAAATTAAAACATGGTGCGTAATAAGTTCTATATTTACTTTTCGTTTGTTCTTATACTCATTTGTTGCATTGGTAAGGCTAGGTTCTTTTTGGATGATTTTTAACTCTTCTAGAATGTGGAGCTGGATTCACTACGAAACTCGAGGGGATGTTTAAGGACATAGAACTTTCCAAAGATCTTGTCATTGCTTTTAAACAGGTATTTTTCAAAAAGTGTAATAAATTTTATCTTTTTCTTATTATGTTATGAACATTACTGTCACTGAATAAGTCTCTTTGATGCTTGTTTTCTTTTTGAGCATTTTCAATGAGGGCTAAAGTTTTTATTTTTAATCAACAATTTAGTATATGGAGCACGGTGGGCCTGATCGTGAGCTGAAACACAGTACAGGAAATATTGATTTTAGTGTCAACGTCTTGACTATGGGTAATTGGCCTTCTTACGAGTACATGGAAGTCAATATACCGCCGGATCTGGCTGAGTATGGAGAACTTTTTAAGCAGGTTCTTTTCGCTCGTAACCTCTGTCATTATTTTTGCACACGTTATTTTTGCGTTATCAACTTTTTTTAGTTTTACTTTTCCAAGCACAGCGGTCGAAAGCTACAATGGCAGCACAGTTTAGGCCAGTTTCTCCTCCGGGCACGTTTCAAGGCAAATGTATCATTTTGATTCTGCGCTCTGTTCCACTAAGATTCATTTTAATTCCTCAGAAAAGATTTTATTGTTTCAGGTTGTCAAAGAGTTGCAAGTGACTATGTTCCAAGCACTGGTCTTACTTCTCTTCAACGAAAAACCCGAATGGTCGTATGAAGAAATAAAAAATGCAACAAAAATAGGTTCTGATATAATTGAATACGTCAGTTATCACTTTTTGTACTAACTGGGTGGCATTTTCAGAAAAAGGGGAGCTTGATCGAACTCTTCAATCACTTGCTTGTGGTCGACTGAGGGTTATTTTGAAAACTCCACGAGGGAAGGACATAGGGTCCAGCGACGTTTTCAAATTCAACGCAGATTTTAACGACAAACTTTATAGGATTCGGATAAATCAAGTTTTGTTGAAAGAAACGGTTCGGTCATATTTTATTTTTTGTTTCATTTGATCATAATTAGAAAACTTTCTTTTTTTGAAATCATTTGAAGTTAATTAAACGCTTCGACACTAATTTGTTATCATGCTTTTTAAATGCAGTGTGTTGGTATTGCTGTGCCACCTTTTGGCTTGCCGAAATGTTCCACCTTTGTTTCAAAGAACTACTTTTTAAGGCCGAAGAGCACTCTCAGACTGAGGAACAAATCTTCCAAGATCGACAGTATCAAATTGATGCAGCTGTTGTGCGTATTATGAAGATGCGGAAAACCTTGTCTCACCCACTGCTCATTTCTGAGTTATTTAATCAGTTGCGGTTCCGCGCAAAGCCGATTGACTTGAAAAAGCGCATAGAAAGTTTGATTGAGAGAGAATACATGTGTCGGGATGCTGAAGATTCCAACATTTATAAATATGTCGCCTAACCGGGTTTCAGTGGATATGAAGCGTTTTTAAGAAAATTTTTTCATGTACAGTTAATATTCTGTGTTTTGCTTCATGAACATTTTTTTCAGTATACAATATGAGTTTTTTAGCTTTACTGTGTTCTTATTAGTATACTAGACAGTGTTGGACTTTGTTGAAAGGCGCTAGCAGTGGCTTTCATCCTCAGTGTACAGTCATTCTACGATCCACAAAATTTTGTCCAGTATTCACTAAAGTTTATCTACAGTTTGTAGTTTCCAGTTCTCGCACTTCCCACTTCCATGGAGATTTAGGACAGCTATTTACAGCCATATTTCATAAGCAACTTTATAGAACTTAATGTTTATTGTTTCAAAGCAAGTTTCTGGTTATCCGCATCCTCCGTGATAGTTCATAGTTATTTTTGTTCAATTCTTGGTCGTATGAAAAAAAGTAAGCCATTTCTTGAATAGGTTTTTATGTG